CGTATATAAATGGGTTTTAAAAACTATCAATAGATTATTTATATGAGATGTATTCACCCATTTCGTTTAGAGCTGATGAATGATTGGTAGTTGAATTTTCCCATAATCATATGCTTCCCATCCCGGCTCTGAGGGACTGCAAGTTCAACCTCGCCTGAACTCGTCTCTTCAGTGCCTCCGGCGGGACTCGAACCCAAGCCGTGTTAGTGCAGTGAATGATGTCAACTCGTCAACCAATACACTAAACGGACATGACTGCCCTTGGATTATATGGCAGATGTGAATTTCAAGTATAGCCAGGCATCGTTCCATATCACATTTTGTGGTGGGATTGGCGATGAGGCAAAGTTGTATTTGCTTTACTATTCGACTAGCTTATTTATATTTCGTTTAAAACAGACTTTCGAGTCTGTCAGAAGGTCAAATATATAAGATATATCACCCTATTTCGTTAAGATAATGGAGACGGAATTCTTGTATTCCGAGTGACTATCAATAATTCTTGAATAAAAACTTAGCCCAGGTAGCTTAAAGTGATTCAAGGACTGATAGTAAAGTTTGCCCCACAATAAAATTAGTGGGTTTCATGAAGCCATTGAATTTCAGTTAGTCTTGCTGCCAAAAATGTTTTCTCCATAGAATGGACTTTCCTTTTATTATCACCACCATCATCGTCATTGCCATCATCTTCATCATCATCAGGGCCAGCAATATTGTCATTGTCATCCACAACAGCAGCAGCATTATTAAAATCATAATCAACGTTGTCATCATTCATCACTTCCCAATTGGATTGTTCACCAGGATTTTGTGCACTGCAGTGGCAATCTATCCCTCCGCGACACAACAGCGGTTGCCAGTGTGTCACAGGGAAGATGTGACCTTCAATACAGTCCTGGCTTTTTCTAAATCACATTTAGTGTGGGATCATCAATAGTGCAACTCTTTCATTTTCATTATACTCGACGACATTTAATTGTATGTGTTGTGAGTGTATTTAGCGGTTTTGAACCACTTTTATGGTGTTATTGAGATCTAAACTGCAATCCGTTCCGGATTAGCTAACTTCTAGGATGTGAAGCCAAGTGAATTACAATCATATCGTGAGAGCTACCGATTTAATTGTGAGAAAACGTACAGTATCAATCCTGGAATCATCTTAAATGACCTGGGCTGATTTGTTGGATAACTCTTGTTTTGCATAACAAACACGCCGTATCCTAGCGCTTGAATATACGTTTAAGA